TTTAAATCAAAACCTCTAGAGGGAAAAAAATTGAGTTTTTCATTACTCAAGGCTTCTTTTTTCAAATGACAAAAATCCTATGAAGGCTTTATAACCTTATTGTTTTATGCAAGCTAAGTCATACTCAGAGCTGTTATTAAACATATTTTTTTGAGACATAGTCTCTTTCTTGGCTATTCTGGAGCTCGTTGTGTAGTGCAGGCTGGCCTCGAACTCACAGTGGTCTGCCGTCTTCTGCTTCCTGAGTTCTGGGATTCTAGGCCACTGCCCCCATGCCCAGTCTTTTCTTTCATTTTTATTTGTGTGTGGTGTGTGGTGTGTGGGTGTTCCATCTGCCCAGAAGAGGGGGATGGATCCAATGAAACTGGAGTGACTGAGCTGCCATTTGGGTCCTGGGAGATCAGCCGGTGCTTTTAACCATCGAGATATCTCAGTTAAATCTTTGCTCCCGAGTTCTGACTGTCTCCCTCTGCTCTCTGGTGGCGTCTGCCCTCTTGCGCACGTGGACTTGGCAGCGGCTTTCTGCTTTGCCTACCGACCCACTCTTCCAAGTGAGTGGAAATCGTCACGCTCTCAGTCCAGGGGGGCTTCCCTCATTTGTTTTCTTCAGACCACACCTTGTTACGAGCCCGGCGCCCAGGTCTAGAATGAAGGATACAGATACTTGATAGGTCAATGGGTTCCCACTAATGACCTTGTGCTACGCATGGGCACAACTTTCTTAAGAAAAAGCATGAGGAGGAGCAATGCCTATGTCTTCCTCAAACTAAAAGAATTTGTGGGTCTGTAGCCTAAATCCAGTGTGGGGACATGAACACTGAGGTGGAGTGAAGACAAAATGCATTGTGTGGTAAAATTTCCTTGTACGCTGTCAGCTCTTTGGTTGAGAACTCAAGCACATTGGATAAATTGGAAAAATAGACAATTGAAGGAAAACTAGAAGTATCTTTTAGAATTACCATGTATTTCGGAAAGATGTTAATAAATGTAATTTGTTAGAGTTTTATAGACTTTGCACTTATATATCCGGTGAGGTTTATTTGTCTTTACTATTTTTCATTTATTCTTTGAAAACACAACAGACACAATGCATCTTGACATAGCCACCCTACTCTTCCCCTCCCCCTTTCTCTAGGCTCCTGTGAAGTTTCTTGTGTTGTAATTTTTTGTGACGTTACACCTCATAAAATCCATTGAGCACCTTTCTGTGCTAGTTTCTAAAATTGTTCATTTTTTAAAAAAAGAATTTATTTTCCTTGAAGGTTCTTTAAACTTCATACAGGTAATTATAAGTTCTTTGCCTTTTGGAGGTGATAGTTGGCAGGAGACAGGAGATGTCTGATATACATTAAGTTTCTTTAATAGTTATTTGCTATATTAGCTTATATTTTTGAGCAAGCATTTAAATTATTTACACTTTTCAGAAAAAATATTATTTCACAGAGGGTTTCAACTCTCTGTCAGAAAATTACTCATAGGAGTTTGTGATAAATCGCTGCTAGAGTTGTAGCTAGTATGATCTTTTGTTTTCTGACGTTGTTTATTTGTGTCTTCCTCCATTGTTTTCTAATTAGACTTTTGTGCAGTTTTTAAGGCTTCCCATTGTCTGTACCAGATTTTATTTATTCTTATGCTCCTGCTTTCTGTTACATCAATTTATCCATTTGATTTAAATGAAATTTTCTATCTTCATTTTAAGTTCCACTTTAACTTTTGTCTTATTTTTAAAATATATTTTAAATTAAAGCATAATTTTACTACTTCCTATTTCCTTTTCCTCCTTGGCCCTCATCCCCGGCCCCATCACTCTCCAACTGATAGCCTATGTTTCTTGTATTATTGTTACTTTTTGTTTTTGGAGTTGGGAACCTGGTTTTATTTAAATTAAAAAACTACAAGTGTACTCATTTCGTCTAAGTCATATGCCCCTTCCCCCTGTAAAATTAGATGCATTATACTGCTTTTTAAATTTGTTTACAATTGCTTTGCCACTTCATGATTTCTCTTTCAGATTTTGTTTGAATA